CCCCCCCCCCCCCCACAAAAGATTTTTCCCGAGGATTGGATGCATCTGAATTTCGAAAAAAACTCAAACTTTCTTCTGTTTTCTGATTTTTTAGTGACTTCATTATCGACATACCCACAGAATTTCTGAACTTCTCCATTTTCTCGCCATTTTCACCGAAATCCAAAACATCGCCCGATTGAATAACCTTGATATGAATTGGGCTCACAATCGACATAAAAAACGATCACTCAACTAACATCCGTAAGCCCTAATTTGGCTAATCGAGTGCGTGCTTTCACTCTAGACTACGTTGCAGAATTGTTAGATTCACCAGATTATCCAGACACGGAGTCCCAATCCGTAAGAAGAAGCAGACCCTGGCCGGTTTTGAAAAAATGAGCATGCATGATGAAGACACCCTAGTTTCACGCATTTTTTCGGTGGATCGATAAACGTGCACGGTGCGGAAAAGGGTTCGGACCAAGATACCAAGGATGGTGTAATATCCCGAATCCCGAAAAGAATATTTAATTGTTTTAAATAATAAATAATTAAATGATTGGATACGAATAATAAGTCTGAGAGAGGTACGGAATCGAAACACATCCGAGAAGACCTAAATATGGATAAAAGAAAGCCCAACAAGCCCGGACAAAAAATCGGACCGAAACGGGTCAAATCGGACAAAAAATCGCACGAAAACGCACTTTCAACACTCCAGACCGGTCGGTCCATAGGTCATACCACTGAACTTGAGATAGAATGGACCGAATCGGAAAAACGGAGAAGAAAACAAATTGGACCGGTCGGTCTGCTCTGCTTGACAACTTCAAGTTGTCTGCAATGCTTTTTGCCCCCGATTTTTACGCACCTACAGTGTCCCACCCGCCGTCCACACCCACTGAGGCATTAATGGGAGATACCAACTAACTCCCAGCGATGCCCTCTCATCCATTAGCTCTCCCAAGTGAGCATAAATACTTCCCAAAATCTGTAACTCGACCATAGCTGGAGAAAAATTCTACAGAAGCAAAAAGAGAGAAAAGAGGGATAAAGAAGAAGATTTGGAGGAGTCCAGAAAATCGAAGGAGGACGTGCCTAAACGTTCTCTGGAGATGTGCTCGACGTGAGAAAGCTCAGAGAGCTCACAAAAGCTCGGCCAACAACACACAAACTCAAGAACAAATATGAGTGACTTGAATTGGATTTGTGTGATTTCGTTTTCATGTTGTGATGGTGTAAATCGATGTTTCTTGCTACATTAAACTAGAACATGTAGAATGTTTAGCTATTGATTAGAAATGATTGGGAACAAAAAAGATCGAAATTGGATAAAAAAAATGGTGAAAAAAACAACTCGCCGAAAAAACGAAATCCAAGTCTTGGACCGATCGGTCTACCATTTCGACAGTGGATGGAAGATGTCAGCCAGGGTTTCGAACAGAGGCTGGACCGTATACCCAAATTTCATAAATAAAAAAAGACACTCTAGGGTTCATAATTTTGTATTGGCGGGATCATCTAAAATATACATATTTACATAACACATCATTCTCCTAATAATTACATATAGATGCATGTTTATAATTATATATATATATATATATATATATATATATATTGAACACATTGAGATTTCTCAAGGAACATAAACTCAAAACATGAAAGGAGTTGGTGAGAACGCCGGAATTGCTGTCTCGGACGCACTGCTCCTGCAAAATCATCCCCCAGAGTGAAAATATATTTTTTTTGTATAAGGTAAATTGTATTAATGAAATTAAATGTTGTATCTTACAATTATATATATAATTATAAATAGGAGAAAAACTGGTAATACTTTTTTTCGGTAAACGACTGTATGATGTTTTGTTTCCATTTCACTGGTTGTATACCCAAATTTGCATTAAAACTGGTAATACTTTGGACACAAAAGGATGACGCAGCAACCGTAGCCGGATTCTCAAGGAATTTGTTCCCAGAGTAAAAATATTATTTACTTACAGTATTTTCGTGCATGTGAAATAAAAATTTGCAGTGCAAAGGACGTACCAAATAAAATCATTATTTAGCATGTTGTTAGGATACGTTTTCGAATTGAATGACATAAAATTAGGAAAATTAAGGGGTTTTTTAAGTTCTTGTTGCTTACGATATAACGCTTCATTCGGAATGTTTATCCGAAAATAGTCTTTTAATTAACAAAAATATTAACTGCTACTTAATCCAGTAATCCTCTTAATCACAATATCTAATTATCCTATCTTTTACCATGTTAATTTTTTCCCCAAAATAGACAGTTAGTCAACGCCGTAGCCCCGGATCCTTCCCTGCCTAAATAATTTCAGAAAAAAAAAGTACCCGAAATCTTCGCTACGGCCACGAACGTGGGACGACCATCCGCCACTGCCGCTGCGGCTCTTTCGCCTGACTTTCCTCTCGTCTCGGCCGCAGCTACCAGATTTCACAGTGGCCGACGACGGCCTGTCCTCGGAGATCGACGTCAGTGACGGCCTCCACTCCGCTGAGGCACCGCCGCCGGAGATCCTGACTCGCTTCCTCGACCGCCTTGACGGCGTCCTCATGAGCGATCGCGTCTCCTCCACGCGGGGCTCATCGGCGGCGGAGGATCGGTGAAACTGCTGGTGACCGAAGCAAGGTACGAGCACCAGCAAGAATTTCATCTCCTCTCCCACCGAAACCCCACTCCTGATTTTTCCCCCTTTTGGTGGTTTTTTATAAACCCTAAAATCCCAATCTAAGATAGAGAAAGAGGCGTATAGCTGAGGTATTTATAGGTAGTGCCACGGAAATGGAGAAAGTGGGTGGTTGTTCGCTCCATCGTGGGAGGGGTCGGGTATTTTATAGGCGATGAAAAATGAGGGAATCAAGTTGCGATCCAAAAGCTTACGTGGCGACGCGTGACTGGATTCGGTCATAAATTTTTTTTTTTTTTTTAATAAGGGATTTAGAAAAAAAAAAAAAAAAAAAAAAAAAAAAAAAAAAAAAAAAAAAAAAAAAAACTGAGTTACATCACACAACCACGAGGGGTTGCGATGCCAAACCTATCGGCGCGAAGTAGCTCAGACAGGGCGGTCGGAGGAGCCTCGAGCACCGTGAGGCCGATGGGTAGACTATGTCCCATGGAGGCGAGCTGATCGGCACAAAAATTCGATTCACGATAAACATGGGAAATTGAAATTGTCCACTGTCTCGTGCATAGCTCCCGTATAGCCTGTATAATTGAACCGTCCACAGTATTTAATCTTTCCGAAGTTTGGATAGCCTTCACTAAGGCTTTGTTATCCACCTCCACTATCACTCGATGCCATCCTCTTTCCCACGCCAACCTCAATCCAAGTAAAACTCCCCATGCTTCCGCTCTAAACACTGAGCAAATCCCGAGATTAGAGGTGAAACCTATGATCCAATTGCCCCAACTGTCCCTAACTAGGCCACCCGCTGCTGCCGAAACTGGATTCACCCGAACACTTCCGTCCGTATTTAACTTCATTGTATTCCAAGGTGGCGGAGCCCAACTAATATCATGAATAATCCGTGGTCTTTTTGCCGTTGATTCGGTCATAAATTTTTGTAGTTACGAATTTGCTACCTCCATTTTGTCCGGTTCGAACCTTAACCGGGACCGGCTTTTGGGTTGGCCGGTACAGAATTTGGATTTTAAATTAATTTTTGTTAATAGCCTAATCCAATAATTAGACCATGAATCATTCTGTTTTAAGTTGGGTAAATCTAATACTTCACTGAAGAATTAGTCGGACTAGACCAAAAACTACCATCAATGATTTTAAAATTAAAATCATTTGTATCAGGAAAAATCCAAAAAAAAAATACTAAAATTTTCAATTTTGACAAAAAATACTAACTTTTAATTTTATAAGATAAACATTAAACTTTTTAAATTTATAAAAAAAATACTTCTACCATTGTCAAAATAAACAAATGAACTGATATGACATAGAAAGATACAAACATATCAAATTATTGTTTTTTTTTTTTACAATTATATACCGTTCATGTATTTTTTTAAATCATTTAAAAAAATTTAATATATTTTTTTTACAATCGCATAAAAGGTTATATATTTTTGTAGATCACTTAAAAAGTTTAATATTTTTTAAGCTCACTTAAAAAATTTAATATTTATTTGATAAAAATAAATATTAAACTTTTCTCTTTGTAAAGTTGGGTATTTTTTATCAAAATTGTAAAGTTGAGTATTTTTTTGAGATTTTCTCCTTGTATTAACAAAAAAATATCGCATAATACCCAACATTGGGTGGTCTAATTGTAAGAGAACATGTAAATTATGTTCTTACCTGGATTTCTCCAATCCTTTTTGAGATGTAATTAAGTTAAAGGTTCGATCAACTTTCAGATTATAAAAAAAATGTCGCATAATATCCTATCAAGGAGCAATACAAGAAAACTATCCCCAGTTTTTGTTATTTTCATTTCGACTGCATAATTCTACATTATAGAGAGTCGCACTTTCTAAGAGTTTCAAAATCACACAATCATAAAGTAGAAGGTAATATTAGAAAAAATATTTATAAAGGTATAGATGGAGTGAATTTTTCTTCCTTATGATACGAAAGTATGCTTTAAAGTGAAATAGTAAATAGATAAAATTTGGAATCATAAGAGCGTCCGTGTATTACATATTAAATTTTACTTTTTACATATGATTTCCTTTCGGAGAAAAATAATGATGTAATTGGCGTGGAGTGAATTAAACACAAAAATGAATAAAGTTAATGATTTTATATAAAAGTTACAAAGTCAATGATTTTATATGGAATTTTAATAAGGTTATATATAAAATCACCATCTTTGTAACTTCTATATAAAATTATGAATTTTATAAATCTTTTCCACATATTTATGAACTTTACGAATTTTATAACATACATATAAAATCACGAAAATTTATAATTTCATGATTTTTATATACGATTTTTTTAAAAGTTTGAGATTTTTAGGTGATTGTTCCTTTAAATTATATACAATGTCCGCTTCTTTTGAAGAAAAATATCGCTATATATATTTTAACATAATGGTTGTTTATAAGATTTTTATTTTCATTTGAGTTTTAATACATTTATATTCAATTAAAAATTGAAACGTTTTACTCCAGAAAAATTATGCCTATTCAAAATTTGGAATTTTGATTTTGTATAGCAAAAAAATATCAACTTTAGTTGAAATGTTTTTGTAAACATAAGTTTTTTTTTTTGGATTGTTTTATTAAAAAGCATTAGAATAAACTATGCGGCAGTCTTGGCTTCATAAAATCCGGGTACTTGTAGCTCGGGTTTAATGAGATTCTCGGTCTTATCCTCGCGGGTACCCGGATCCATACGATTTATAAAATTTTGAACTATAAAATGATAGATATAGAAAATACAAATGAGAGAGGTCGAAGTATAAAGAGAAAAATTCACGATGAAGAGAGATGACTAAAATTTTGAGAGAGAGATGAATGGTTGATTCGGTTATATAGAATGAGATTTGGAATGATGAAATTTTTGTATAGAAAGGTTTAGAACATAAAAAAAAATTAACTAAAATAAAAGTATTTTAATAAATAATAAGAATAATTTAGACAAAAATGTTATAGATATAAAGTATATTTTAGATTTTTAACAAATATACCGGGTACTCCCGGGTACCCTTTGTAAAATAATTGAACCCCCACTCGGACTCGGGGTCGAAAATTTAGTCTTATTAATACTCGATCTCATCATCGTTAATATTCGGGTACCCTTTATTCGGGTACTTGTTAAGCCGGGTACCTCCAAACCCCCGGGTTACGGGTTAAAACGCCCACCCCTACTATGCGGAAGCTTATTGCTAACAAAGAGTCAAAGGCAAACTATGGTAATATCATTTATTTCCAAGTCGTGATGGTTGGAAAAGGCTACAAAGACAGACTTCAATGTAAAACCACATTTAATACATTGGAAGGTGTTAGTTGAGAAATTGTTATCGTATTATTGAATCCCCAAGAGATGAGTTGTAGAACTGTTATGTGGGAATTTCATCGTGTTATAACTTCATCTTACAACTACCAATTATATGAATACATTTATTAAAGTTGATAAATATATTCGAAAATCAAGTATCTTGCGAATACCCCAATTCCGAGTATCCCTATCTTTAGGTTTGGATTCGGATGTCAAATGATGAGAATTCGTATTCGCAGATGGTTGTTGCTATTCTAAGGGTTAGGGTTCTCTTGCCTTAAGACGATGTATCATCAATCTACCCTCTTTCTCTCTCCCCTCGACGAAAACTTATATTCAAATCCATATTTATTTCTTTATTTTAATACTAAAATAAAGAAATAAATATACATTGAAAATATTATAATTGATTAGAAGAGATTTTAAATGTTATATATGATTGATGTTATTGAGACGAGCATCATCATTTTCCCCTCAAGAGCTTCTTTTCTTCTTTTTCTTTTTATTTATTTATTATTCTTTCTATATTTTTTCATGACTCGTGAATAGATCTATTTCTTTGGGTTAGAGATTCCTTTGAATTTGAATTTTTATCAGCCTACCCTTAATTCTATTGTGATTGTTGAACCCTTAATCAATAGCTATAGAATTTGAACCATATAAAAAATATGGGTTTATACTTGGATTAAAGATCAATAAATAAATCGGAACCCGAGAAATTCGAATCTTAGATCGGATACCCAAATTATCGAATAACCTCCAACATTGACCAATCCTAGAATTTATATATATATATATCGAATGCTAATCGATGGATGAACCGCCACGTAGGGTTCGGTAAAAGCTTACACCTGCCCATATAGAAAATAAATTGCAATGGTCCAAGCAAATTTTTAAGAAGAGTGGCTTCCGTACATTTATTATAAAAAAAAATTAACTGCATGCATAGCGAAAACCCTAATCAAATCATTTCATTGGAATGGAAACGACCGCACAGAGTTGTCACGTCATTGAAGTTACGGTTGGATGTTACCGATTACAAGCTGTATTACACGTTTCTTTTTTCTTTTTTGGTGCGTACGTTTTGGGGTCTAAAGACAGAGAATCAAAGCAACATATAATCCTTTGAGAAAATTTCAAGTACGATAGAAAGATTCTAAAACAAGTGGAGGACAAAAGGAAGAGACTTCTGTTTCGGCATTTACATGCGACGTACTTTTGGATTACTTGGGCACGAGGGAATCGCAGGATGCGCCCAAAAAAATGATTAGGACAAATGGGGAATGCGAAGTATGAAAGGCATCTCCTTAGGGTTTTGTTATTTTCGGACATTTATGCTGCATCTATGCTAATATCTTCTCCTTTGTATGAGCTCTCGTGTTTGGTCCACATGCATTCCCGTCTTCGTAATTTGATTTCTAGACAGACCCACGTGAAGTTGGATAAAATTTTCCATGTTGTGGACCAATCATATACTTCGTCTTATTTTGCATAAAATTCGATATTTGGCTATATATGTGTGTGGTACGTTTTTGGGCATACGAAGTGTGCGTTAATGATTGGTTGTGGGAAATGACCCATCATTTCTCGACACATTTGGCGTTTTTGCATTTTTCCTTTTACGTAAAAAAACCGAAATAAGTGGAGAAGTTCAAGTTTTAGAGCTGTGATTCATCCCCTAAGTTTTCAAAAGAAATACGATACGGATGCAAGGAGTCCACTGAGTTTCCCCTTCCAAGATGTAAATATACAGCTAAAACGAATGTTTGGATTCACTTTCCTTAGCTTGGATTCACGAAATAGATGTTCCATCATAAGAACAATAAACGGAATTGGATTATTAGTTAAATATGTTTAGAGCCCACTAACGGTTTAGACCTTGTATTAGGGGGTGACCATTTCGGCTATATTAACCGAATAACCGAATCGAGCTCTTGTTGAATAACCGATCAGGTCAATAACCATTCAGATTCGGTTCACTTCGATTAATAACTGAATAACTACGGTTAATTAACCGATTATTAGAGTTTGGTTTAATTTTTAATTTTTTACTCTAGGTATTGAAGTATATATTTTTTTACAATTTCACTTTCACCTCTCATACCTCTCTCTCTCACTTTTCGTAGACAGTCTCAAGCGGTGCCTCACCTCCTTCTTCCACCTCCGATACTGAGTCTGGTCTGAAGACTCTCTCTTTCGTCGTTTTTCTCCGATCCCCGAATCGAATCAAACCAATTAAATTTACATAACCGTTCAATTATGATTACTTTATAATCGAAATGACTGAACACGAAATAACAAAATCGAAAGCCGATCCCGAGACCCGAAATGATCGCCCCCACCTTGTACTACGTCGTTCTTATTGCGTTTGCACCAAACCAATTTGTGCCACGGTACCCTTTCATGGCCTTGATATATGGAATGCCAAACCTCCTTCGTAATGAACGAGTTCAATATCTTTTCACCTAGCTTCCAAATGGTAACATCGGGGTTATCCGTAAGATTAGTATCGATCAAAAATATATGTACCCGTGTAGCCTTGTCTGATCGTGCTGGAGGGATCCTCCAAATGTCGGCTCGGTATAGATCGGATACACGACTGAGCTTTGGGATGGCCCCATGTATGTGGGCCAGTCCAGCAAATAAGTTCCCGAATGGAGCCCAGACGTCGTGCCAAACGCAACGTGTGATTTTCATTTCCCAACTTGACAGAGAGGAATTGCATCGCCCACTCTCTACATTTTAGTAACTTCCGTAGTGTCCAAAACTGAGTTGGCTGAGGGTTAGTGATCAGAAATTTCCTCGGGGATGTATCATTTAGTTTATTTTAAAATGTCCCCACTCTATTTTTCTTAACTCTATTTTAAAATGTTATCATTTAGTTTTATCATAATGTTTTTCATAATTATAATTTTTAATTTTTCTGTTAGTGTATTATATAAATCAATAAATCTCATTTAAAATAACAAAATATTTTATTAAAAATAATCTTATTTTGTTTATTTTTTCTTATTATTTTATTTTTAAAATGATTTATGATATCTCATTAATTTATTATGTTAGATTTCTAGATTTTTCATTATACTAAATGATTTTTAAAAAATAATGATTTCATTTTCTTAAATGGTTTATTTTATAAAATCAATAATATCCATAAATTATCTATTTATAATTAATAATAATGCAACTTCTTCTACATATTTTAAGATTTAAGTGAATTATGAAAAGTGGTTTTAGAATGTATAATACTCCTATGCACTTTTTAATTAATTAAATTGATATAAATTATGAAAAATGATATATATAGAGAGAGAAGATTTGGGTCATATGTATAGGCCTCAATTAGGCCGGGTAGTCATTGTTAAGGGCCTGTTAAGACCTTTATGTTGGCCCAAATAGAAAATATGGGCCTTGACGGTAACAATATCCTCTCCGCGCTTTCTCTGTCGCCGGATCTCGTCCGCTTCGATTGTCGAGCTCCCATGGATCTTCTCTGTAATTCGTACGCCGATTCTTCCGACGAAGAGCTCGAGCATCAGACGGGGATGCGGCCGCCTCCTGGAACCGCCAACGAGACCCCTCCTTCGAAGCGACCGCGGCCGAGTCCCGGGCATCCGTACAACTCGTTCCAGAGACCGCCGTTCTACTGCTCCTACTCTGATCCTCAAACTAGCTCTGCGGTTTCTATTCCTGGTCGATACGTGTCCAAGAGGGAACGATCGCTTCATAAATCTCTTCCATCGGGTCTGAATCGGGATCAGGGTTCGGATTTGGTTCAGAATATATCCGCAGCATCTCCTACTGGTATTTTATGTTATAACTTGACGAGATTGTCTGGGTTTCAGTGTTTGATTTCTCGTTTCTGTTCATATTTTAGGTAATCTCCGTTGATGTTCGAACAGTTTCTTCTCCAATCTCTTGTAAATTTTGGTGATTCAGTTGCTACGAGTCGGTGCTGTTTGGTGGTCCTTGTTATTAGCTTGCTTTGGTGCTGCAATGAATATTAAGCTTGTGCATATGCTAATATCTATAATTTTACTCATTTACAGTTCTTGGAAGCATTGCCGATTCAGAATTACCCTGTCATGTTCTATCATCTCTTAGATATCGACAAAAGGGCTTTTCAGGGCAAACCCAGATGCCCAGTAGGATGTCGATTTCTTTATCTGGTCATACAAAGGCTGTTACTGCAATTGATTGGTCAACAAGTCATGGTATATTGTCTCTCGTATTGTGGTTTTCTGCTTGGTATATTAATCGTCTAGCTCTATATGGCTAATTTGGTTTCTGGTTTGCAACTTACTCGGCATCTTGCTGTGGTGCTTTAATCGTCTAGCCCTATATGCTTCATATGATCTGTTAATCCTTGCCCATATTTGTAGCCTCATTCATCTGTTCATTAGAGTTTTTTGTGCAGTTCATCTTCTTGCTTCGGCGGGGCTGGATGGTGCGGTTTACGTATGGAATGTGTGGAGCAAAGATAAGAAGAAAGCACGGGCTTTTCACTGTCACGATGCTCCTGTGAAAGATGTAAAGTGGTCGAAGCAAGGATTATCGATGCTTTCTTGTGGGTATGACTGCTCGTCAAGGCTTGTTGATGTTGAAAAGGGGATACAGATACAAACTTTCAAGGAGGACCAGGTTGTTGGAGTTGTAAAGTTCGATCCGGATAATTACAACACGTTTCTTTCTGGCGGATTGAAGGGCAGTCTCAGATTATGGGACATTAGAACCAACAAAGTGGTCCACGAATACATCCGAGATCTTGGTCCGATACTTGATGTGGAGTTTGTCAATGGTGGGGAGAGATTTATCTCTTCCAGTGATGTGTCCAGTGGAAACACGAGTGAAAATGCTATTATAGTTTGGGATATCAAGAGAGAAGTTCCTCTATCAAACCAGGTTAGTTATGGAATCTCTAGACCAACCCTCCTTATTAACGATAAGTGAAATATATCCAAGTGGATAGGAAAACCGAAAGCGGAAAAGATCATAAAAGTCTGGCTTAGGTGCAGAAGGTAGAGAAGAAGTTACCTCAAAGGATTTAACCTCTGGAAATGAATTGTTTCTCTCCCCCCATCTTCCCTTTTTGGTTTATAAAGAGGTTAGTTTCTCTAGGAAGTACTTTAGGTCATTGTTTGAAAGAAATGGTCTTGCTTCTTGGAAGTTGTTTTCTGAGGAGAATTCAGAAAAATACTAATGAGGAGACAATAGTAATAGTTTAACCTTTTCAAGTTCTACACTTTCTCTCGGATATGCACTACTTCATTGTTAGAGATTTTAGATCTCTTGTTTAAATTTTTAAAAACTCCAGTTTCCGCTGTTCATTCCTTCTTCCTGCCCCTGTTTTTTGACGGAAGCTATTCTGCTGTTTTTGCTGCTTCAGGTCTACTCGGAAGCATACACATGCCCCTGCATTAAACGCCACCCACGAGACCCCATCTTCGTTGCCCAATCCAACGGGAACTACATTGCCATATTCTCGACCAACCCGCCTTTCAAACTCAACAAATACATGAGGTATGAAAGCCACTGGGTTTCGGGTTTTCCCGTCAAGTGTAGCTTCAGCCCGGATGGCCAAACCCTAGCCTCAGGCTCTTCCGTTTCCCCTCAAGAGCTTCTTTTCTTCTTTTTCTTTTTATTTATTTATTATTCTTTCTATATTCTTCCAAAAAGGGGGGTTT